CTGTTTGAAAGGACCTACTACGTAGAGAGCGAAGGTATCTACCTCTCTGCAAGCTACCTAAATGCAGCAAGCAGATTCCTCCATGGTTGTGTGACCCTTGGCTTCTTCCTCACTGTAGACATCTCCTGGGGTGTGTGTGGTTTTATTTGTTTATACACACACGTCAGTGGCTCAAGGAAAATGGCTTTCATGACCAAGGAGAGACAATAATCCCATTGGTTTCTGGAGGAACATATCCAATAAAGACTTGTTAGCCACTGATATGTTTATACATGCACACTAACTGAGAATGTACTTTATGCATTGGATGGAATGGACTGTGATCCACAAAAACTTGTGTTACAATAACAGTGCAATCCTAAACAGTTATACCCTTCTAAATCCATTGAAGTCAATAGGCTTAGAATGGCATAACTCTGTTTAAGATTCTACTGTCAGTCTTCTAGTCCTTAGGGAATTTTTTTTGGCACCAGACTACCCCTCTGAAAGCTATCTGTTATAACAACTCCTTTGACATTGGCTAGTTACTGTAACAACTACATGTATGTAGTGTTCATGTGGCATGTCCTGGGGTATGAACAAGTGATTTGGAGAGACGGCCATGCCTCCTCTGGCTTCCACACATTGATCCAGTGTCTGCCCTAATGTTCAGGTTTATTGAAACTAATGCAGATTTTTGTCATCTGTTCCAGAATGAATACCTGTATGAAGGCGTTGATGCCCGAGTTATTGAGTATGAGGACAACAGGCCTTTACTGGATATGTTCCTCCAGAAACCAATGGGCTTATTGTCTCTCCTTGATGAGGAAAGCCGTTTTCCTCGAGCCACTGATCAAACACTTGTGGGTAAGTTATTGGCAGTTTCAGAGTCACTTCTCTGGCTGAGACCCCTGGTGACTGCTGGAGGGGGCACAACGAAGGTGTCAGTGCGCAACAAGGGCTTGGCTTGCTCCCAGCCATTGATGGGATGGGAATGATTGTGGCCTCTTGGAACCATGACCATCATGGTGTTGTTTCCTGGAACCACAGCTGCCTGCCAGGACTCAGTTTGTTGCCGATGGGACTTGGATCATACATGGCTGGTGGTACATAGTTGGTAATGATTATAGCATGATGTGGAGATAGAAAATATCTTAAAGCGAAGCGAACCTTGGCGATTTGTATTTAAAAGAAGATTGACAAACTGTGATGCATTTCAAGTTGAAGAGTATATTTGCTTATATTTTCAGTGTGGCTGTATTCAGGTCTCTAAGGGTACATAATGCCCCTCTCCAGTTAATATTTTTGCCCATGAAAAGTGCTCAGAAGGACGGTAAAAGGGAGCCATAAAACCAGGATCTGTTTTGCTACTTTTTTACGCTTGGATATTCAGAGCAAATTTCCTAAAGTCAGTGTCTTTCAAAGAGGGAAGTGTCAAAATCCTATGAGATCGTTTAGGTCTTAGTGAAAACATATTTGTGTAGTGCTCTTTTGCTGGTTGGGAAAGAATGGGTGGGAAGTAACTGTTGGCATAAACAGTACAAGCTAGTACAATACAAACTGGTACTAAGCAAGAAATACATATTGTTTATACTATACTGTTTAGAACATAATCCATGTGTTTCCTTACAGAAAAATTTGAAGACAACTTGAAGTCAAAATATTTCTGGAGGCCAAAGAGAGTAGACTTGGCATTTGGGATTTACCATTATGCTGGAAAGGTAAAAAATCTGCACAGTGTTATTCATCATGATCAGAATTGGATATCTTTCACAGAAAATGGGCCAACTAATGGTAATACTCCGCACAAGTCCAAAACTGGAGGACTTTAAAAAACAAAACTTTGCCTTACAGTGGGAAAATTAGTATTTTGGAGTCAGAAATGTTAATCATTCCAAATTTGTAATAACTTGTAATAATTAAAATTGGCAATAAATAATTGGTGCTCCTGCCAGAGAGCACTGTAATATAGGAGCGCTCATAGAAGCTCTAATTTGAGTGAGAAGAAGCATGTTGGCTCCTATCAACCGTGGAATCTTCATTTGAAAATATATAAACAGATAGTTACGCAAGAAGAATGTATGAGGAGTAAGGCCTCTTTCCTAGGCATCCAGAAAGAGCTAAAGGGAAGACCACGGTTTGAGGCTGATTAGGACTGAGACAGTGATACACATTTTTTTAAAAGAGTGCTTATAATTACTTGATTAGCTGAAATGGTAAAGCTGTGTTTCTTAAGGCTCTGTAGCAGTGACAGCTCTCATAGAAGAGTAGTGCTGGCAAGGACTGTTCAAACCGGGAAACCTGCATTGCCATGTGGTAGGGAGCCCAATCATGTTGAAATGTGTTTTCTGGGGTTACTATCACTGGTAATGTATAATGATGCCAGATGGCCTTCTAGACCAGAGGCTGCAAATGGATACAGAACAAAGAGACCTGGCAGGATCTTTTTGATCAGTTAACCAGCCACAGGGCCCATTCACACAGAGCATTTGCTGCGCTGAAGGCAAGATCGTCCCGCGGATTTTCCGGGTATGATAACACCGGAACATCTGGGAGGCGTAGCGCCCCCGTGGCTAACCTGTGGCTTCTCGCCGAAGATGCGGAGTAAAAAACTACCACATATGAGGTACTAGTTTCTGGAAAACACAGGGCAAGGGGGGGCGTCTGATCACATTTCCGCTTGAATCCCATGGCATCCGGCGCCCGTCCATGTCCCGTCGCAAACTGGATTTTTTTAAAGTCTCCACAGGATGTGCACAAACGATCATGCGCATGCACAACTTTCAGTGGGGGAAAAAAATCCCCGTTTGCCATTGAAGCAGCGCCTAGCGAATCCCCGTTTGCCATGGAGGCAGCGCCTAGCGATTGCTGGTGTGATCGTGCCGCGCCGCTTCTTTGCCGTACTGCAGGATACCCGTGTGATCGGCACCTAACGGCCCAACCACGGGACCTCGATGGGACGTGTGATCGGGCTGCCGCGCGTTACTTTGCTCCAGGGCAAACAGCCACACTCCCCCCCCCACATTTTCCAGCCCATGTGACCGGGACCACAATACAGCAGTGGTGTAGCCTTATCTCAGGGCTTGCTCTTTCTCCTTCATGGGTTGCCTACAAAGGCTGTCCCATGCCCAGCCCCTTAACAGGGGGATAAGGAATGACATTCGTGGTATTCTTTTGCTGAAAAGAGCCACAGTCCTATGTGGTTTTTCAGAAAAGTCTATTAGGAGGCTGATTTGGCTGGTTTATTTAATTACTTCATTTATATTCCACTGTTCTCCCCAATGGGAACAAAGTGGCTTACAATTAGGGATGGGTGCAAACCTAGGAAAGGCAGTTCGGTTCAGGGTCTGGGGTTGGCCCATGGACCAAACCCCAAACCGGCCCCATACGATCCAAACCGGTCTGGCAAGTTCGGTTCCCCCTTTATCCCAGCCACAGCTTGCCACGGCCAGGAGAAAGGGGGCAGAGATCGCCCCGGAAGGGGCTTCCTTTCCACCTTTCTCATGGCCACGGCTTTGAAGTGGTGGGGAGCAAAACCAAAAGGTTAAATGGCTACCAGCCATTTAAACCTAACAGCTGAGCCTGCTCAGCCTGCTTAAAGGGGCTGCGCAAGGGAGCCCAAGAGAGCTGAGCTGACAGACAGAGACCAAAAGTCTGGTAAATGTTTGGGGAATGTGCCTTCACTGGACATTGGTTCTCAAGCCCTACGAGGGAGGGCGGGGTATAAATTTAACAAATAAATAAATAAATAAATAAGCTCTGAACTGGCCCAAGTTCGGCTGGAATTTTGGCTCGTGAGCTGGTTCGTGTCCATCCCTGCTTACAATGTTCTCCATTAAATCCTCATAACAATCCTCTGAGGTAGGTTAGGCTGACTGTGTGTGACTGGCCAAAGGTCACCCAGCAGACCTCTATAGAAAGAGCAGGCATTTGAACACAGATCCTAGTCCTACACGCCACACTGGCTGTTTTGTTGTTGTTGCTGTGACGATCTGTGTAACATCTTCATACAAGACAATGGCTGTTTTATTGTTGCTGTGATGATCTGTGTAACATCTTCATACAAGACAATATGGTAGGTAGGTGGCAGGCCAGCAATCAAGTTCTGTCCAGATTTGTCCCAATCTAAAAATCCACTTCCTTCCTTTCTTCCTTATTTACTCAGTACAAGCTAGAATCAGTGCAATTCATATTGTGAGAAAATACATGTATGTGATAAGCAATAAGCATGAGGAAAATGATGTATAGCAATTTTTACTGCTGTTTTTAAAAACAGGTTCTGTATAACGCCGGCGGATTCTTAGCTAAAAACAGGGACACCTTGCCAGCCGACATTGTACTGCTGTTGCGATCTTCAGAAAATTATTTGACCAGGCAGCTGGTAATCCACCCACTAACAAAAATAGGTAATAGCATTTCACAGTGCTAGATTTGTCAGATCCAGTTTTTTTCTCCTTAAATTTTACCATTGGGCTAGCGTTCTCAGTGCCACCAAGGTTGGGGGGGGTAGGGATACACAGTTCCTGGAACATGGATTGGCTGGTGGGTCTGGGAGGCGAGGGAAAGTGCTTTTGGTACAGGAGTCTGCAACCTTTTCCAGTTCAAGAGCTCAACTCTGTCAAATCTCAGAGCAAGAGATCAACAAAGGTTCAGCATAAAAAAGCCCATTTGCATCACTGAAAATGTATGACATTACTGATGATTGACATGTTACTTAATAATCCATAAAGTTATCAAAGCCAACGCACTTCCTTTATTAGAAAGTGGTGCACATGAAGTCTCATAAATGTACACAGGAGCACCAATCATTTTAGTGCACAGGCATAAATGTGCTCGTGGCTCATATTTTGATTTCTGGCAGCTGTTCACCTCTATCATTTCCCTTTTTGTGAAGCATCTCTAAAAAGCTACGTAGCCCTATAAAAATCTTTGCCTGACATTCCCTTCACATACTGGTTATTCTAGCATTCTCCCTATCCCTCCTATGTACCTTTTTCGTTTATAAAGTTCCAATTTTTGTTCTATATTGAGCCACATTTGTGCTGGTAGATAGTAGTGTTATTGTGACTAACATACAGTTGCCAACACAAATGTGACTCTGGTACACTAATTTGGTAGCCATATTTGGACCCAGCTTGCTGTTCAATGCAAACTTGGTTGACAGAACCAAATTTTCTCCTCCATTTACTGGGTGAAATGGCCCCTTTTGACAGGGTGTTTTCTCTCTTCCTTGAGGTAATTTGGCACACAGTAAAAGCAAGACTGCGATAAACTACCAGATGTGGACTCCTCAGAAATCCATCAGCCAAACTAAGGTAAGGAAGTGGCAAGGTAGCTCTCCCAACATATTCAAAGTACAGAAAGGCAATATTGTTGTTGTTGCTACAAACAGTAAGCAAGTAACCCCTTCCTTGGTTTCTCTCCCTCTCTCCTATTTTCTTTTCTGCTTAGCTGGATATCTTTGTGTTGTGCAATTCGTATTCCTTCCGTGAGGTAAAAAAAACACACTACATTTCCCTTCTTTCTGACTATAGTTTTGTAACTACTTGAAAGGAAAATAAAATGAATTCTTAAAGGACATGATCCTGGCTCTCACGCTGAAGCATGCTTACTTGAGAGTAGTCACTGTTGAATTCACAGTGACTCACTTCCAAGTAAATACATTTTTGGTTGGTATGTTATTAAACAAAATATAACATGCAAAAGGTTCTAATACTGATGCCAGTTCACACACTATTGATAATAACTGCAAAACACAGTAATGCGGGAAGAAAAATTTGTGAAGTATTTGTTAATAGTCCTCCTGGTCATTGCAAAACAGCTACCAAAACCTTGCTTTCCATACAATTCAGATACCTGTATGTTCAGTTATCAAACTGTGTTCAGTATGTGTGTGTGTCTCTGCATGTGTGTACAGTGTCATTGTATTGTATTGTGACTGGAGTAACAGTCTCTGATGTATCTTAGTTATTACTCAGTAGTGTCTACAGTTTAAAATAACTGGTTTTTTTAATTAATAGCATTCTTTAAAACAACAATGTGTTGAGCTGTTGCAATATGCTACAACTGTAGAGATAAGAACTGCCATTTTCTTTCTTGATACATATAGAGTGAGCCTGAAGATACCACACATCACCCTCGAGAAACAACCAATATGAAAACACAGACAGTTGCTTCATATTTTAGAGTAAGACCTCAGTTTTTATGTATAAATATTATGTATTGTGTAGTAACTAACTGTTGTTTCTCCTCCTTCTCCTTTTATTGTTGCAAATGCTACCCTGCGTCTTGTAAGGAGAATATATTTTACTTAAAACACAAAATATTGCATAGGGTTGTTTATAATATCTTAAGTATGTAGGGTTTGGACTAAACATCTTTGAGGCTACTAAAGGTAATGGCTTGCCACATTTCAGATGTTCAGACCCTGCCAACGCTTTGTAAGAGGCTGCCTTCTCCTGGTCAGATCACTGGCCCTTCTAGTGCAGGTTGACTACTTTGATTGGATTATCTCAGGGAGAGAGCTTTTTGCAACCGTGTTACCTGAAATCCTCCAAGTGGAACCGCCGAGGATTAAATATGGGACTTTCTGGGTGCACATTTCTTTTCTTCTTAGTTTATTTAAATGTTTATGCTCCTCTCTTCTCCGCACTGGGACCCAAAGTGACTTACCACATCATTCTCCTCTCCTCCATTTTATCCTCATAATAACAACTCTGTGGGGTAGGTTAGGCTGAGAAAATCATGGACAGGTTTTCAAGCAGTTTCCACATGCTTTTATGTACCCATTTATTATTTGTGTCAGCTGATAACCTTCTTCACAAGAGGCTCTTTTGTGTACTGTGTAGAATGAGGCTGTATTCAACCTGTATTCACCCTGGCTTGTTCATGATTACCTCAAGCCTGGTTAGCTCTCACAATTGTTTAGTTCCTCCACCCACCTTGCTCCTATTCTACACAGAGCCAAATATTTAATGGTGAGAGAAATCTTCCATACAACCTGAATTGTTGTGGCATTCAAAGCTGGGCCGTGGAACAAATTGAGATACGTTTCTTACCACTTTTTGTTTCGTTAAGAAACACACTCCATTTGTTGAGGTACTCAAATTTGGACATTACAGCAAGTTGGGGGGAGATGTGGGATGCAGTGTTCCCCCTAAGCTGAGTTAGTGTGAGCTAGCTTACAGTTTTTTAGCCTCTGGCTCACACATTTTTGTCTCAGCTCTCAGGAAGGATGGCTCCAAAGCAAACTAATTTATGCAGTAGCCAAATCGCTCACTCACAACTTTAATGCCAGTAGCACACAAAGTAGAATTTTTGCTCACAAGACTCTACAGCTCTCAATGCTCTGGGATGTCTTTAATCTTAGCTCCTCATGTGAAGGGAGTTTGGAAGGGGGGAGGGAGCACCCACAACTGAGAATAAACAAGCTCAGCATAACCAAAATGCAGAATACAGACTGAGTGACATTTACCTGACTTGTAAATTTATTTGAAAAACTCATTCTATTGTGCTACAAGGCTAGATGTCTGTGGTCAAATGATATGTGAAATTCATGTTCCCTCCCCAGCCTTTTGGCCTTCCTTGTCCTCTTAGGATTTCCACGTGGGTCTCTCATTTACCCACATCATCACTTCTGGCACTTAACCAGAAGTGATATCACTGTGTTGCGGGACATTCCAAGCTTTCTATGAAACTATGGTCAAATTATTAATAATTACCACACTGGCAATTTTATCTTCCCTCACAGAAGCTGAACTGCAAACTATTTAGGTCCCTGAGCAACTGAACATGCCACCTCACCAATTTAGCCAATCATTGCTTTCATTGCCACAGTTCAACATTAATATCAGTGGCAGAACTGGATCTTATATAGGTGGAAATACATGGGTAATAGGCACAGGAGAAAATTATCTACATTTTGTTATGTGAAGCATTTAAAAGCCTTCCTGCCAAATATTTTATCAATTAATTTGGCCAAATTAATTGGAATTCATTATTATGCCATTCATATCGCTATAATACTGTGATATTAACACACATTGTAGTTGTACAAAGGGAATATATATATCCCTTGAATTCCCTCTTGAGTAGCACATCATAGAATATTATATCATTACTGTAATTTTCTCTTGAGTCGTCCTGATGCTTGAACAATTGGGTTTAAAAAAATAAAGCATCAGAGTCTTCCCACAAAACACCCATCATAAAACCATGGTTAGTCAGAGCAGACATTAATAATTTTATGTAGTTGTCAGTTATATCTCCATCTGCTGATAATGGGTGTAGAATTGCCATGGAGTATCCACTAAGCACCAAGCCATATGCAGTAACAAAATAATAGCACTAAACATTGAAAGCCATAATATGATTTATAACAAATAAGATACTGAGCATAAATGTATGCAATCAAGAAATGACAGGTAGAATATGAATTATTCAACCTAGGGCCAATTTACCTGAGATCAATTTAATACCATATGAATGTCTTTTAATAGTGCTTTGACTGCAGTGTCAATGATGGTAGTACTTGCTAAAAAAAATGGGGCTTGATTTGAGATGTGCTTAGCTTCCTTTGTTTTCAGTCTATTATACAAATAATCAAATTAACCTCCCACAATTTCTTCCCTTCTTTTTCCATGTCCTTTTAAAAATGTGCCCTGTTCACATTTTTTCTCTTGCTTACTTCCTTTTTAAAAGATCAATAAATCATTTTTAACTTTTACAAATGTCAAACTCATTTTAGAAGCTAATAAAAGTAAATAAAGCCACCCTTTATGGGTTACAGATTACTGTGCTAGAAAAGACAAAACTGTGAATATGCTCTTGGTCATTTTGGATGATCAAGAGCTCATAACCTGTCTAGAGAAGACGGGCTCCCAGCCATAGGCTGGAGGGGCCCTACCAACATACCTGCGGGACCGCCTCCCCCCCTTATGTACTCCAAAGATGCTGAGCAACATCTGCTGTTAGTCTCTGGCCCAAAATAATAACCACAGCCTCAACCAGGGCCAAGGCGTTTGCTGTCCTGGCCCCCAGCCTGGTGGAACATGCTCCCACTCGAGATCAGTGCCCTGCAGGATACAGTCTTCATATTGCAGGCACCAGAGATAGTGCTGTCCTGTGTTGATTTTAACATTTTAATTTGATATGAACTGTATTTATTTGTACTGTTATTTGACTGCTGTGACCTGCCCTGAGCCCGCTTGCAGGGAGGGTGGGATATAAATCCAATGGTAAATATTTTTTTTAAAATAAATGAATTTGGTGGAAGGCAGGGAGCAAGGATGACTTTGGGCAATTGGACCCAGCACTGCTGTCAACCACTCTGCTCTCAAGCGGCTTCCTGCGGCCTGCCCCAGAGGTTGGCCCATCATGGAACAGGTGGGGCACACAGACCTGCGGGTGCAGGCTTGTCTCTGGCACACAACTCAAATTGAAATGAGCAGGCTGACGGGGTGCTTGGCGTTCAGCAGCTCTCTCTTGGCAAAGACCCACCCCATGCTCTCAGTGTTTATTTTCAGTGTGGCTACTCCTCCTTTGCTGTGACTGCAGTGGGTTGCTGATTAACAGGGCCAGAGAGGAATTTTAACCACAGCTAACTGGCTGATAGGCCCTAGGGGTTTTGCCTTCCCTGTAGCAAATAATGTATTTATTGTGTATGCTGGTTTGCACTGTTAAAAAGAGCATAACTGTCACAACTGGCTGCTGGCATTCAGGCTGGGAAACATAGGGCAGGTTTTGCAGGGTGGGCTCCCTGCTTGACCAAAGGGGGGGGGCCAGAGTGCCAACTTTGGGGCTAGGCACATTCCCAGGAGGAGGAGGATGGCAAGAAATAGTGGTTTCCACCACTTCCAGCCCTAATGCCATCTCTCTGGCCTTGGTTACCCCAACAGGCAGATTGGGGAAGGTGCTGGCAGACTTGGGCTGTCAACTGCACCCATTGTTCCCCTGCCTGTGCTGTGCCAAGACCTGAAGAACCTATAATCAATAAAGTTGTGGCCTGATTCCTCCCAGCATGGTGTGTCTGTTTCATCCTTCTTTCCCAGACCATTGGCTGGTCCCCACTCCAGGTACATTAGTCAAACATTAGTTTGGGAGTATGCTGCTTAGACAACATTATATGCCTCCTCATTGAACCTAAATAACCTCCACCTTCAGCCTATAATAAAATGGAAATAATTTTGTTAGGGAAACCTTTCAGAAATCTAAAGATCTCATTTTGAATGGCTTTGGGAGCCTGCAAAGTATAGTGTAGGGTTGCCAACCTCTAGGTGGGGCCTGAAGATCTCCTGGAATTAACTACAGAGATCAGTTCTCCTGGAGAAAATGGCTGCTTTGGAAGGGGGAGTCTATGGCTGAAGTTCCTCCCTCTCCCCAGGCTCCACCCTAAAATCTCTAGGAATTTCCCAGCCCAAAGTTGGCAATCCTAGTCAGTGTTCCCTCTAAGCTGAGTTAGTGTGAGCTAGCTCACCATTTTTTAGCCTCCAGCTCACACGTTTTTGTCTCAGCTCAGGAAGGATGGCTCCAGAGCAACCTAATTTATGTAGTAGCCAAATAGCTTGCTCACAACTTTAATGCCAGTAGCTCATAAAGTAGAATTTTTGGTCACAAGACTCCATGCCTTAGAGGGAACATTGATCCTAGTACAGTACCTTCATATTCTTGTTTTAATTTTACCTATATTTTCAAGGCAGTCCATGTTGTTCAGATATATTATTAGTTATTCTAATATACCCTAAAACAGATAAACAGATAAAGTTTTAATTTCACATGCAGGATTTTCACTATCATAAGTCTTGCTATATCCCCTTTTTGAAAAGATTCTCTTATCCCAAATGTCCAGGAAATTTCAAGAGTATCTTGGTGAATTTGGGCTATATGCCCCTTTTCATCTAAGCTTTGTTCTCAGCAGGCCAATATTAGTACATGGAGAACTCTTTATTGTACAGAGGTTGGCCCTCTGGTTTTAGCCTGACAACTGGACTTAAAGGTACCTACAGACATCCTAGACAGGTCCACGAACAGCACAAAAGGCAAGTAGATTTGGAATAGTCGGGATTGCAAAGCGCTCACTCACTTTCCTGGAGGATAGTGTATCATTCAAATGTTTCTTTCCATATTCCTTTTCAGTATTCACTAATGGATTTATTATCTAAGATGGTGGTTGGCCAACCTCACTTTGTCCGTTGCATTAAGCCAAACAATGATCGACAGGCAAACAAGTATGACAAGGAGAAGGTATTGGTACAGCTGCGCTACACTGGAATTCTTGAAACCGCACGAATTCGGAGACAGGGTTATTCTCATCGTATTCTCTTTGCTAACTTCATAAAACGGTATGAATCTGAAAAGGAAGACTTGGCATTTGTTCTTTTGAAAAGGCTGGGTCGTCACTTGTTGCAGTCTTAAATTAATCAGCTTTCAAGATGGGAGAAAACTTCTGAAAATGTACATATGACATAGTTTGGAGAACCTCATGCTAGTAGGACATCTTGATTCATTCATCCCGCATGTATTTCAGTGTCCTTTCTACAGTGTTTTTTTGCCATGTAACTGAACAAGAAATGAATATGGGCTTCTTGTTCATGTAACAGCAAACCATGATTTAGTGTTATATCAACTAGTCCTGAATGTTAAAAAAAACCCACAACACACTAGAAGTTTCACAGGCCTGTACCATACCAGCGTAATGGTGTAGGATCACATGCTTAAATGCTGTCTCTCTTGTTACTTATTTACTGCCTGTGGGAATCTAGTATGTCCAGAAAAACTTTTGGAGGGTAGCCTTCTGTTTGTCTCAGGTGTGTTAGTTTTCTATCTACACTATGTGTCTGTATATATTTTACATGGGGAGGAGACAAACATGGCACTCCACCTACATTCTAAAGTGGTAGAGTCCCGGGACTGTGGTAACGTGTGGCCTTTCTGAATAAGCTGACTAGCTCAAATACACATAGAAATTAAATATTTGGATGCTTTGTATCAGTGTTTATTATCGGGTGCTTGTGTATGCAGCTGTGCTATGTGTCTTTAGTTAGCCTCTAGCTTGGTGTTTAAATGTCATGCACACAAATCCACAGCAGTTTGAGCTGTTCAAGCAAAGAATTAAACTCAAATAAAAGTTAAGGTTTGTTTGTCACTGAGTGCATTTAGTAAGTACAATTCTTTTGTTTTGCCTCATAGATATTATATCCTGTGTTACAAATCGAGTGACAACCCTCCCGTAAGCCCTGAAACGTGTGCGGCCATCTTGGAAAAAGCCCAGCTTGATAACTGGATACTTGGGAAAACTAAGGTAGTATTATCTCACATAGGTTTCCAATCCATCAATAATATCTTCTATTCCAATCCCACTGTAATTTAATGAAGCAGACATTTTTTTACTCAGTTATGGAGTCACCTGACCTTTTCCAGAGGCACTTTTTCCACATTGGAATTTATCTTCTCGTGTTCCCCAGTGGTTTTGCCCTGGTATGATAAATCAAATGCAATGCATTGGATAGGGAATGCCAGAGACATGGAGATATATATTCCTACAGGCCAAATGGACATTACTGAGACAGATGTTTTGTTTTTTTCTATAGAGTTCAGTTTTGGAGGCATTGTCTACAGAAGGGAATGTTCACCAGATTATATGTTTTCTATATTTTAAAAGGTGTTCCTCAAATATTACCATGTGGAGCAGCTAAATTTAATGCAGAAGGAGACAATCAACAGGATTGTTCTGATTCAAGCATATGTCAGAGGGTGGCTTGGTTCAAAGAGATACAAAAAGCTAAAGGAGAAAAGAGAAGAAAGTGCAGTCAAAATACAATCAGGTAAATGTTTATATGTATAAAGATATGCAAATATGGCTCATTGAGCATGTGCAGTAAGATAAACTGGGATAGAACAACCCTTGGTGTCCAGACCCCAGCTGGTGGCCTGGAAGGTATCTGGTGAGGATCCAGCCTGAAAATAACTATCCCACTATGGCCAGATGAAGGAAGTACACAGAAATCAGCCACCTCTGCCAAAGACAGTCCTTACACCAGCAGGCCAAGAACTCAGCGAGAGGCAGTGTGCTGTAATGGTTAAAATGTTGGCCTAGGAGCTAAGATATTTGGGTTCAAATGTGTAGCTTACTGAGTTGCCTTGGGACACTCAGTCTCTCTCATAAGAACATAAGAGAAGCCAGTGTTGGATCAGGCCAATGGCCCATCCAGTCCAACACTGTGTCACACAGTGGCCAAAAATACCAGGTGCCATCAGGAGGTCCAGCAGTGGGGTTAGAACACTAGAAGCCCTCTCACTGTTGCTTCCCCCAAGCACCAAGAATACAGTGCATCACTTGCCTCAGACTGAAAGTTCCTATCTATACCTTGTGGCTAATAGCCACTGATGGACCTCTGCTCCATATGTTTATCTAATTCCCTCTTGAAGCCATCCATACTTGTAGCCGCTGCAACCTCCTGTGGCAGTAAATTCTATGTGTTAATCACTCTTTGGGTGAAGAAGTACTTCCTTTTATCTGTTCTAACCCAAGTGCTCAGCAATTTCATTGAGTGCCCATGAGTTCTTGTATTGTGAGAAAGGGAGAAAAGTACTTCTTTCTCTACCTGCTCCATCCCACACATAATCTTATAAACCTCAATCATGTCACCTCTCAGCCGTCGTTTCTCCAAGCTAAAGAGCCCCAAGCGTTTTAACCTTTCTTCATAGGGAAAGTGTTCCAAACCTTTTATCATTCTAGTTGCCCTGTTCTGCACTTTTTCCAATGTATAATATCCTTTTTGAGGTGTGGTGACCAGAACTGTACACAGTACTCCAAATGAAGTCACACCATTTATCTATACAGGGGCATTATGATACTGGCTGATTTGTTTTCAATTCCCTTCCTAATAATCCCTAGCATAGTGTTGGCCTTTTTTTTACTGCAGTCGCACACTGTCTCCACATTTTCAGTGAGTTATCTACTACGACTCCAAGATCTTTCTCTTTGTCAGTCTCTGCTACTTTGGACCCCATCAATGTGTATTTATAGTTAGGATTTTTGGCTCCAATGTGCATCACTTTGCACTTTGCCACTTTGCACTCTCAGCCTAGCCCACCTCACTAAATTCTTAGGAGGATGAAATACAGAACAATGCAAACTGTCCTGAGGTCCTTGGAGGAAGGTGGGGTGAGATTAAAAATGTGCTAGATGCTTTCTACGTGTTTACCATCAAGCACGTGCTATACAGAGAGTTGCAACCAGCCTTTGCTCCCATATGACACTGTACTTGCATTTACATTCACACTATACATTTTTAATGAATATAAATAAAAAGTCTTCATTATGCAACTAAAAACCACAATGTTGGGGGACCTCCTGCTTTCCCCCTCTTGTGGCCACTCTTAGCACTTTATGTTGGTGGAATGGGTTGCAGACCTGCTAGAACAGGACAGGCAGGAAGGGAATGACCATGTCCAGGCATGGAGGAGTGCATGGAGGAGGAAGGAAACTACCAAGGGGTTCATACAGACTAGGCCTCTTGTAGTCTGCTTTTCTCCCTCACATCCTGCTCTGAGGCCTGGCTGTAGACTAAAATGGTGAAAAATACCTTTGGACCCTAGGGCTGCCAAGTCCCCCCCGGGGGGCGGATTTCCCCCCGCTTTGGAGGCCCGATTTCCGCTGCGTTTGAATCGGGCCCCGTGGGAAACCCCACCCCGGCGTGCACGTCACCCAGAGGTGACGTGATAACGCCGGGCACGCTGGGGGCGGGGCCACAGCCATCTGTGGGGAAAAGTCTATGTTTCCCCCTCAGATGGCTGTGGCCCCGCCCCCAGCGTTCCCCGGCGTCATCACATAGTAAAAATGTAGTGCACAAATGATCCAAGATAAAACTAATTGAGCCATTATATGAGCAACCACCAAGATGGCCTTAGCACAGACTAGTACACGTCATCCTGTTATGGATTATAGCTCCCATGCTTTTAATATGAAGAATGGCAATTTGATCCACACACTTCGGATGTGAGCTCTACTGACAGGGCTTGTACTCCTGGTGTAATGCTAATAATTTGGGCTTGAATTTCTTGCAGGGGAGACCTTCTTTTCCCTCACATTGAACCTGATTGTGCTTTCTTGCCACAGGCAATAGACCCTTGCATAACAACTCGTTTTTCCTTCCAAAGGGCACACCTGACTTAATTTTTCTCCCTGTCTCAAATGGGTACATAACAGTAGTTTAGAAAAAAAAAATAATAATAAATAACAAGAGCTTACAAAGTTCCACCATCTGTCCTTAGCTTACAGGGGTTATGCTGCTCGTAAAGACTACACCTATGCCATGAATGAATCGAAAATGGAAATGCGTCTCACCAGACTTCAGGCTGGTAAGAATAGTTTTTAATTCACTTGAGTTTTTCGCTTTACATAGTCAATAGGTGTGGATACCTTTCTGGACTGGGGGAGAGATAGCTGCAGCCTCTGTGTGGGTTGATTGTGTTTGTCCTATAGATCAGGAGTGCTGCAGTGTTTTTGTTCTGTCCTCCTTTCCTTTTTGTTTCATGTTCTAACTCTGTGTCATTGAGACGTGCTTGGGGCCGGGGATGGGGTGGGGATGTCGCAGTGAAGGGAAGCAAGCTGAAGTGCATGGATCCCCAGAGCAAAAGATGAAGAGGCAGGCTGAAATCAGAATCCTGTCAAGGGCTGCCAGGCAGGTCAGGTTGGTCTGAAGGGAAACAGTCAGCAAAATCGGGAAAACTGAAGAGAAGATCACAAGGCCAAGAAGAGGGGACAGGAGGGTGAGTGGAGTCTGTAAGTGCGCTCCTGGGGAAGTTTGCTGTTGCCGTGAAAAGGAGCTGATGGGTAGACACAGGTACCAAGCCTGATAAAGCAGCATGAAGTAAAGAGAAGAGGTATTGTCAACTCTGAATCCAGGAGATTCACTTCAACCCTGGTCCCCCATTCCCTGAACGTAGTACTCCTTGAGTGTCCCAATTTGGTCCTGGCAGCATTGCTTGTATTACATCAAGAATAAAGTGATTCCTGTTCACTTGCAGCCTCATTGTCTGTAGTAGAGGACAGGGTCACTTGCGTGTTTTTATTAGTCCTAGCCTTCTGGGTGTCCAAAGACTCCCTCAGAGCTCTCATTTCCCAGTCACAGCCACCTTCCTCTAATTATAGCTGCATTCTTCCCTGAACCACAGCCAGCTTCCCTCTCATTGTGGCCTCTTCTTTCTCTTCCAGTTGGAGCCGTGATGGAGAGACATCCTTACATCATTTTTAACTCCATCCAGTGCAGACAAAATAAAAGGGGCTTCTGGCCCAATTAGGAGGATTAGCAAAGCGGGATTTTCTCACTAGCTGCTCCCTCCAGGCATATCTCCCATTGCAGAATGGGAGATCAACCCAACATTCCCCAGGAAGGAGACTGGATCCAGCGATCTCTGGGCACAAATTGAAACCGAGTTCAAATCACCCCTCCATGAGCTTGGGCCAGTCACACATGCTTGGCCTAATGTACAGCACAGAGTAGTTATGAGGATAAAATGAAGGGGAGGAGACCAATGTAAGCCACTTTGGATCCCCATTGGGAGAAAGCTGGGGGATAAATGAAATAAGATCATGGGTCTTTCTCTGGTTCTCCTTCCCCCAGCAGTCCTTCACAGCCCTGAGAAAGTTGATTCCTAGGATTGTAGGACTAATTGTCATGTGGTTTGAGAAGGAGGAAGGGCGATTTCCTCCTCTGCCATCAGCACAGTTCCACTGACAGAAGAGGTTGGAGGATTAATTACATCCCCTTCTGCCTCCACATCACAGCCCCCAACCTATGTGGTGATTAGGCCATGAAGGTCCTATGACCATGGGAATCAGCTTTTCTAAGTCTGGAAAGGTCTGCCTGGGAAAGATCCTCATTCCCTTGGCACCTTCCACCGACAGATCCTTGGATTCAGTCTAGGGGGACAGCCCTCTGCTAGACAGTAGACTTTGGCAGGTCACCACCTACATGAGCCATTGACACCAGCCCTGGTAATAAGTGGGACAAACAATTCCCATTTTGTGGGGAAATATGGCAGAAGACCTTCAAAGATAAAGGAGATCTTCATTTCCCTGACAGGAGAAATTTGTGCACAACTGGATTACAGAAAAGGGGAACAAACCCTTATTATTCTTTGATCGGGGAATTCAGTTTAAGTTTGTGCTGTGGTTATTTAACAGTATTCAGTGAAAGACAATTGTGAAAGCTGTGTTCTTATTGCAATTTGTCAGTTGGAAGAGGATACTTAATCAGGAAGAAAGTTAAAGAAATAAAGGATGCAAATAACAAAGCTGCAACAACAATCCAATCACATTACAGGGGGTTCAAGGAGAGGAAGAGCTTCAAGAGGAAAAGGTATTGTTTGTTTCCTTACAATAAGTAGTAAGTCTCAATTCAGATTTTCTTTTAACTATGAGCCTTTTAACACTGGAGGCAGCAACTGGTAATCATGCAGTAATTCAACAAACTCATGAAATGGACACATTCAGATTCATTTTGACACATGCTATGGCAGACCCCTGCTCCTTCTGTTCTATGAGGCAGATTTTCCCACCAAAACACTGTTCACCACTCTGACTGAGCAGCCTCTTAGTAGCGTGTTTGAATTATAAACTTATAACTTCCTTTGTGTCCCACCCAGTGTTAAAGGAGCTATTTTGCTTTTTCTCAGGTGAGAGATTTTTACTGTAACTCAGCAGGAGCCCTCTTATAAAACCCCTTTGGAAATGACACTTGACACAAAGTAAAGTTGAAACAAAAAGGTTGATTTTATTGAACTGACACAGTTGTAACAGGAATAGGGCAGGGGGTGATGAATTCTTTAAACTGTAGCTCTTTATAAGAAAATTAGAATGTCTTGAACAGGCAACAGAATATACTTAAAGCTTGAATTCTAAGAGGCTTAGTTCTTTACTGTGAGAGATTTGTTCATCTTGGAGATTTCTTACAGCAACAAAGTTTCATAACAATATCTCAAGATTTTGGAAGTTAGAACTTTCTTCCTGTATACCAGTATTTCCCTTTTGGAATTATAACTTTCCCTTTCTGTACTCTTGTAAGACCGTTTCCCTTTTCACTTCTCAAACCAGAGGTCCCTTCTGAGTTGAACCCTCTGACTAACTGGGGCACCAGTCACACGGGCCGGATATCGCGGGGGGGGGGAGGCATGGCTAATTGCCCCGGCGCAGTTTGAGTCACGATTACACGATCAGACGCACTGGCGGCACACCACGGGCCCTTCCCTCGGTGCCGGCGAGTAAACAAGGGACTGGAGGGGAATGCCGCACGCCGGCGCGGTCACACCACGGGAATCTGGAGGCAGCCCGTGGCAAACGTTTACTAGTACCTTGGAGGTACTAGTTTTTTAATGTGCATTGTCGGCAGTAAGCCACGGGTGCACTCCACTTCACAGATGTTGGGGTGTGATTGCGCCCAGATAATCCGCCCACCTTCCGTGCCTCTCCCGCAGCAACTTTGCCGTGTGACCGGGGCCTGGGTAAGGAATATCCTCCATTTCCCAGGAGCAATATCCCTTTTCTGTTTGGCTAGGCTGGCAGTTTCCCATTAACTACCCAGCCTCTTCTAGCAAACCTAAACCACAGTTCTGGAGACAGTGAATACACAGAGAATTCAGCTAGTGCTGACACTTAGACATTAAGTTCTTTCTGAACTCTTCCCCAAATGTACTGGTGTACAATAAAGGCTAGGAGTTGTGTCCTTTAACTTCCTAAGTGACTTGTCTGTTTCCCTAGACTGACACACACCCTCCTCCTGACTGGCAACTGCCAAGTCAAAATCCAAAAGATGACAAGATTTTATAAAACTCTTCTCAGCTGGCACTGACCAGTCAGAGAGAAGGGGGTGCAAGCAGGCAGCATCCTGTCACTCAAACTGCTTTTCAGTGAGGTATTAACCCCTAATGTCCCAGCTCTCTGAGCTTGATGCACTAAGAATCCTGGTTTTGGAGGTCGGTTTGTTACACAAGCTAACAGCTCCTCTCTGCTTGCAGTTAACAAGCAAGACATGAGCTGAACCAGTTGGTGCACAAGCATGCCTAGCCTTAATCTGTTTGTGACAGGTAAAGCACCCAGGTACACTGACAGTGCTACATCAACAACAGCTTAGCTCATACAAAGACACATCAAGTATCTTAGCAGATTTCAAGAGGACTCCACTGGCTTGAGCTCTTCATGAGACAAGCAGCCTGCCTCTCAGACAATCTGAAATAGATAATCTTTGGAATACTGAATAACAGTGCAATTCAAAAATGTGTATGTTCATTTTTCAGACCCCTTTTATTGCTGTAATATTGTTTTTATTTTTTAAAAATTTATCATATTGACATTTTAATATATAAACATTGCCCTGGGTGATGCCATAAGGTTGCAATATCTGCTGTAATATCGCCTAAATATAATGTGGTCGTTCCAGGGAATCATTTCTCAAGAAGGAACAGGCTGGAATAGCAGCTGCTGAGAGTGAAAAGAAAAAAGATGAACCAAAAGCAGAAGTGGGTGCAGCTATTGAGCAGATTTCTCCAGAGGTTGAGGGCAGTACAGCTGTTGATCAGAGCTCTTCTCCAGAGGCTGGGGACAGTTCAGCTGTAGAGCAGAGCTCTTCTCCTCAAACTGAAGAGGAAGCTGCTATTATCCTTCAGTGTAACTACCGGGGTTACAGAGAACGTAAAAAGGTGAAAGAAGAGTGCAAGAAAAAGGCAGAGAAGCAGCCATCCACAAAGCAAAGCTTCAAAGAAGCCAAAAAGAGCATTCAGAATAAAGTACAGGGTGCAGATCAAAATGATGCTGCTGCTGCCCATGTTCCAAGCATCTCCCATGATAACTTGGACAGGAAGACATCTGTGGAAGACAAAGAGATACTCCCCCCAACAGGAAAGTCATCAATGAAACAAAAGCCTCCAAGAGAGCTTTCAGAGGAAGACAAAAACCAGGCCAATTCAAGTCACCTGCCTCAGAAAGCATCCATCAAAAAGGCAAACCAATTGAGCAAACAGATACCTCTGGAGATAAGTGGCACAGATGAGAAAACCCATGCTGCCATTGTTACCCAAGACAGCCACATGGAAAGAGGTTCTCTGAAACATGGCAGGATAATTCCCTGTGAAAACAAAGGCTGTGTAAGGAAAGGCTCCATGAGGGGCTCTCAGAAACATACTGAAGCCAGCAAGCAAAGCTTGGCAGACAAAGAGAAGGCAGCGTTAGTCATTCAGAGTAATTACCGAGGGTACCGGAAAAGAGGGCAGCTCAAAAAAGAAGGGAAATTGCCTTGTGGAAACCAAGAGGGAAAAGGAGGAGGGCACAGTCAGAATCTTGGTTCTAAATCGGTGAAAGAGAGGCGAAGCTCCAGTGCTCACGCAGAAGGCCATAAGAATATTTTAAAAGATGGTGCCGAGAAAGAGAAGTCTGATTTGGCAGCCTTCTCAAGGCAGGTAAGAAACGTAGAGAGGTAGATGTCTTTTCTTTATCTAACCCCGTGGTTTTGACCCCTGGTGGCAGGGAAATGGGGTAGGTCCCTGATGGAGGAGCCATAGGCAGTTGGAGAGGAGAGTGCTGAGGAGAAAGGAACAAGAAAAATACCTGAGGAGAAGTCATGATCAGCTTGAAAGAGAGACTGTAGCCTTTTGAGATCTATCGCAACAACACCACAAAAAGCCAACCATACTGGAGGAAAGGCTGTGGGGAAAGTTTGGAAGGCCAGAGAGAGAGAGAGAAGGCTCTGTCATCTCTTTAGTTTTAGCTTTAATCGTGTTGCTGAGGTTTGGAGTTTTGATACATATTTTTCCTCCACTTTTTACCACTCTCTGTTAAATCACCTCTGTTTATATTTTAAGTACTTATTCATACAGGGTAAAGGTTAACTAGTGAGTCTGGGGATTTGTTTTAAAATAGACATTTTCTTTCACTTCCCCACTGATAGCCCTCCCCAGGGTAGGAGAAGCAAAAACTAGTGGGCTGAATGCACTTTTTCTTTCTCCCCTTCACCCCCACTCTTTATTATCCAACCCTGGTTCCATAATTTCTTCCCTCTGTTGGGGTTGGTGGGAGAAATTGTTGTTACATAGCTAGAGCAGGCTGACTTCAGTGTATTCAATGACAGCTCACTGAAAATTAATCCTCTGCATTGCAGACTTGTAGAAGATACTGTTGGGGGGGGGGAAAGCAAAGACTTTATATGTGTCATCAGAGAGGAGGTTCAGCATAAGCGTTCCACGTTTTAATACCTTAAAAGCTGGAAGCAGACAGCTTTCTCATCATTGCCCCCACAGTTTATGGCAGTCAAACATGAGCTGTTGAGTTCTGACCACTCTTAGCTACTCAGGAATGGTTTTCTCAAATCATATTTATTGAAAAGTGAAATTAACAGGGGGCTGATTTCTATCAGGACCATGGTGAAAGGGGGATGGTTTTTCTCTCTGAATTATTAATAATCACTTACAATTAATCACAGCTATTCACTGCTCAGGATCAATGTATCAAAGAGCTTTTATTGGGGGGAAAGGAAAGGAAAATACAATTAAAAATACAGTTTTAAGCATGCAAACAAGAATGACTGACTTCACCTTGGGTCAGCCTGAATCCATTGAGCCAGCTTGTCCAAGGCCACATGGCATAAGTCACAGGCTACCAGCCGAAAGCCCTTTGGCTCTTGCCCTTCAGCACATGCCTCTGGCTATGCTCAAAGTTCATACCCAAAACAGGAAGGGCAAACCGAAGCACATGTTGAAGATGGCCATGATGTTCTCCTATTCACAGAACTTGCAGCAGCACATGCAGTTGAGCCCTTAGTCTCACTGACTTTTGAAATATCTTCAGTAGCATCTAATGTGAATAATTCCAATTAGGCTGGCACCACGAGTATGCAAATGTAGAGAGCCAGTTTGGTGTAGTGGTTAAGAGCACAGATTCTAACCTGGAAGAACCAGGTTTGATTCCCCACTCCTGCACATGAAGCTGCTGGAATGACCTTAGGTCAGTCACAGTTCTCTCAGAGTTGTTCACTCAAGAGCAGTTCTCAAAGAGCTCTCTCAGCCCCACCTACCTCACAGGGTGTCTGTTGTAGGGAGAGGAAGGGAAAGGAGACTGTAAACTGCTCTGAGACTCCAAGTGAAGGGCGGGGAATAATTCCAATCTCTTTTTTTTTCTTCTTCTTCTAAAGGCACATCTGCATCACCATTTTTGCGCATCTGGTTTAGGTGCCATAGCACTCCTGTGTTCACTGCAGGAGGCTATTTATGCAAGTTACACTGTGTTGCTTCTCTGCCAATTCATGTCAGCTGTGTTGCAGAGGAGTGGCACATAAACACATGCTGATGCACCCTGTGTGCTCAGTCTCCAGAGTGCTGAAATAGCACAGCCTGTCTCAGGCATTAGGGCAGGCCTGAATGTTATAGCTGCCACCTAGATGTTGCTTTAAGACTTTCCATTTGATGGTTGGTACTGTTGTACTATCGGAGCAGGGTTTGGCATAGTGGCACTTGGTCAACATTTGGGTCTATAGCAATCTATCCCTCGACATAGCCAACTCAAACAATTTTTGTGAGGATACACATTTTGAATGATGTGTAGACTAGACCTGTGATAATAACATAAGAAGAACCCTGCTGGGTCAGACCAGTAGTCCATCTACTCCAGCATCCTGTCTCACACAGTGGCCAACCAGTTGCTCTGGATGGCCAAAAACAGGTCATAGAGGCCAAGGCCTTCACCTGATATCACCTCCTGGTTCTAACATTCAGAGGATTAGTGCCTCTGAATGTGGAGGTTCCCCTCAGTCACCATGGCTAGTAGCCATTGATAGACATCCTCCATGAATCTATCTAATCCCCCTTTAAAGCTGCTTATTCCTGTGGCCATCACTACATCCTCTGGCAATTATTATGTGATAAGGATGTTTTGTACAAACAGTACAGTGTTTGTAGCTGAGGGAATGTCATTTGGGCCAACACAGACATTTGACCTGCTTTGGAAGAAATAATCCCCAAATGGTGGTGAATCTTTTCCCTGGTTTATTGTGAGATAATAGCCAGAATTCTATGGGTGAGCATCCAAGCTGGCTCCATCCAATTGTCTCAGTGCATTTTGAACTCAAATGACATGCAGAGGATCTTGGATAGAACGAGTTTGTATACATTTATAGATGTTGGTCGCCATTTTGTTTGTTGACATGTTTCCCTTGTTTTGGGGCACATGGTAATAATCCTCTGTGTGGAACAATTTAAAGCAGATGTAGTGGACATTGTGACTTGTTTTGGAAGCTATCTGAGCAGGCGTTCCATATCAGTGGGCTCTCATATCAGTGGGTTCCTAGCATTCATATCTTTGAGGGGCAATGACAGCTGTTAACCATCTGAACCCTAAGTATTTGTATTAATGACAGTCCACACATTTTGTCTGTGATAATCAGCCATTATGCATCATTGCCATGAGCTTCACCCTTTCTCCTTGGTTCTTGGTGTACCCCAGAAGGCTTGAGGCAGAGTCTTGCCTTTTTCTTTATACTTTGAAACAGAGAGAGACTCCACACTTATCTGCATATCTTCAAAGCCCAGCATTAAGTGAGATGAAACGTTTCCTGATTATGTTTCACAGAAAATCTGTGAGGGAGCCAGGGTCTTAAGAGTCAGGCTCAGCACCGTAAGAGACACCTCCCTCTCCGAGTTCCTTGCACATGGTTTTGACTACCGTAAGCAAAAATGGGTTGCATCATCTGGTTTCAAAGATACACAAAACAAAATTTCATTGCCTCCCATATTTAGATCCTGAAAGTTGCTCCTCAGATGTAGAACCTATATCCATATAGAACTCTAGAGTGAACAAACTTCAGTGCTGAGGCATGAGATGTTCCTGTGTACACAGTTTCAGGAAGAGTTTCAAGATATTTGCAAAAATAAAATTCTGTGGCAGAGGAGCTGGATCACTCCTTTCATTGCTGTCCCCCCCCAGCTTTAATTCACCATTGAAACAGCTTTTATTATATTGCCTAGATATCCAAATTATCAGAGGACTATTTGCTGCTGCAGCAGAAGCTGAACGAAATGATCTTATCACACCAGCTGAGGCCTGTGAAGCTCTCCAAAGAAAAGCAAATGAACGGCCACCTTTCTCCTCATGTGCATCAACCAGGTAAAAATCAATCTTGTTATTCAGGAGCAACTTGAATTGGACTTAAAGGAATGTTCTATAACTTCAGCTGCTTGAGGTGGTACACTTCTGTTGTGCAATAGTGGGGAGAGATCTATGCCTGGGAAAGCCAGAGTCACATACAGTGCTGAAACTGTAATTTGTAGAAAAAATAAGCTAAGAGATTCCAAAAGGGCATCCATTCCCATGTCCTTGTCTGAAAGGGGACCTGTCTAAGGATGGGCACAAACTGAAAAAAATTGGTTGCTGGTTTGTGGCATGCGTGGTTCGTAAACTGCAGACCATCACAAACTTTTTGACACTAGCAGCTAGCTTGCATCAATCCCGTAGGGTTTTCAAGGCAAGAGACAATCAGAGGTGGTTTGCCATTGCCTTCCTCTGCATAGCAACCCTGGAATTCCTTGGTGGTCTCCCATCCAAATACTAACCAGGGCTGACCCTGCTTAGCTTCCAAGACCTGACAAGTTCCCACTAGCCTGGACCATCCAGGTCAGGTCAGGAATAAATATACATTAAAAAAGTAAAAGTAGAGACTGGGGTAAGAGGTGGGCTCTGATAAGGGTGAAATCTACTAAGTTAGTGGTAAAGCCAAGTGAGTTATGTCATGGCCAAAAGATCCATAACTATTCAGACAATCAATCAGAGAGGTAAATTGCCCTTATTGCAAAGCATGTTTCTCATTGTTCAAATAGAAGCATAGACCTGTTCAGACATCTGTGTCCTACTTAGTCTGCATGGATGTATAAAGTGGTACTTCCCCCAAAATAGGCTGTAGAAATTGTCCACGTGGAGGTTTTCTTTCTTTGCTAGTCTTCAAGGAACACATTGTTTCCACAGCTTCAAATTCTGATCTTCAGTATTTACCATAAACTCATATCTTTGGTGCTGACTCAATTCAGATGTCATGTTCCTAACTGTTCATATGTGGATTCCTTCTTCACTTTCCTAGTTTGCATACCCACAGTTTGCTGAGACTGCTAAATCAGACAAATAATGTTAGTGCTAACCAGGAATTCTCAGTTTTGATCTTGGCTTACAAACAGCAGATTGGATCTGACCATTCCTTTGCACGAAACTTGGACCCAGTAACCTCCTTCTATTAAGCCATTCTCCCTTCTTTGTCCATCAGTGGAAGTCTTCCTCCATTAGCAGAGGAAAGTCATTGGATCCATTGGTTTAGTGGCAGTCCTAATCATGGTTTGCCCGAGTTAGATGTCACAGCAAACTATGATTCTCGCAAAAGAGGGAAGGGAGACCACGCAAGACCACATCAGTTTCTTAATCCTACAGATCTGTGCTTCAAAGGAACAGGAATGTGGCATCTGAATCACACCATGTTGGAAAACAGAATTTGCATAATTCTACTGACAGTGTTACCATTGCCTCAGCTAAGTAATTGAAAGATTATCAGCACTGATGAAAACTGAAGTCCACTTGCTTAGTCCTTAACTACTGCTAGTCCTCTGTTGCTGTGTGTGGCTGAAACCAAACCCTGTGAGAGAGAATCAAGAACTGGAAAGTTGTCTTCACAATTTTGTCAGGATCCTTCACCTTTGTCAGACTCTGCTACTCATATTAATTACTTCAGCAGCATTAAACTGGGTTTTGGTATACATTTATGTGTGATCCAACAGCATGAGTCATCATTCTTAGCTAATACGGATTAATTGTTCAAAGAATATTTTGGATGTAAGAAACGCTTCTCTTCAAAAAGCATGTGTAAGAGAATATATGCAGCTCTGTGACAAGGCCTCCATCTCTTCAACCTTCCTCTTTATGTTTATGTCAGGAAACAAGAAGAAGGGTTTGCAAGTGCAATCCTATACATCATTCTAACCCCATGGTTTTAAAAGTGCTTAGTACATTGGAAACTTGGGAAATGCGTGGGAATGAACCAATAGTGACATCATTTTTGCAAGCATGCAGGTCCTATTAAGGATGACAATACCACTGGTATTGGGGGCCTGGTTTAGATCACCTGGTACTGAGCTGCTGTACACTATGTAACTTGTGGCATAATTATCCAGCCATTATTAACCAAATACTCAAAGCCACACAAAGCTGCCAGTTCATACCCCTGTATAAGGATCCAGGTGTTTCTGAAGTGGTTTCATTCTCCCATCTGTGGTCAACTTGGTCAGTTTCCCTACTACAAAGCAACAGTATCCCACATGTCTCAGAGACAAGACTTTCAGAAGATATTTTGGATGCCAACCACAAACACTTAAGTTTTATAATATGACATTTTACACAAAGCAGTCCTCAAATTTTTAAATACGTGAAATGAGCCATCTTGCAGCTTTATCTGGTGTACTCAGACTTCAACTAACTGGCAGCTAGATCCTAACAAAATTATTTGGAAGTGAATTCTTTAATCGCTGTAGAATTTGATTCCAGTGGAGTGTGCTTTGGATCGCAGGCTCTGTTCAAATGCACTGCAAGTCTTACAGCTCCTGAGTTCACTGGCCCTTACTCCCCAGTAAGCATCCTTGCGGTTAAAGCCTTAGGATATAATTGTAACTCACTTTCTGAAGACCAAGTCAGAGAGACGTAATTAATGGCCCACATGATTGGGCTCTTTAACGGAAACTAAACCAGCTTAAGCAGCTTGTGTAAATTTGGCACAGAACACAACACTATGGCACTTTCAGGGTTAAAAGTTTTTTAATTAAATATGCTGTGGGTTGTATGCTTAAACATCCAATTCTTGGTGGAAAGCCATGAGAGCTGAACTGGTTCTTTGCATCCATATATGGAAAAACTGCCTCTGCCAGTGTTCTATCACTTGTCTGTGAATTCAAGCCTGATTGATGGAACTTCGTAACCATTTGTTCTTCATTGAAGGTTTTCTTAAAAGGTACAGGTTTTGTTAAAAGTTAGACATCTAGATGCCGTTTTAATTTGTAAAAGTAACAGTCCTTTGTGTTTCTGAGATGTCACCTTTTAATTTTATTTATGTACCCTAAGGGGGTTTGAGTAGCAATATGATTTGAGGCTTCTGATGAGCTAGGAAAGGGTGTCTTATTTTATTTTTGTACATGCGTTCCTTTGCATAACTAAGGCACAATCTAATTGCCATTTGTGATGGAATCTGGATCAGCACTCATAATATTAATAATACCTTTCAAACATTCCGTCTTTAATAAAAACTGCATAAAAGCCCTTGTAGGTTCAGTTCCCCCATGAAATGTTGCACATTCAGATTTCAAGGTATAACCCTTCAGATAGACACTCATTTTTGAAATACATTTAATTAGCCCATAGTTACGGAGCTTCTTATAAAAACTGGATTCTATACAGACCTTTGTAGAAGTTAAATTCACAATCAGCAAATTTCTTCTGTGATGAAAAGTTCACTTTGTTCTGAAGAAGAAATTTTCACTTAATCATTGCTACATGCAGCGGGCTACAAACTGAAATGGCAGTGGTTCTACTTTTTGTTGATGAACAAGAGCCTCAGTCTTAATCCTGTTCTGTGGGACTTGCATTGAAATGAATGAAAGCCATGCAGCATCCGTACATGGTGCTATGTGCTCCAACATTCACCTGGAAAGACTGGAATTGCATGTAGCATAGCCAAGGAATGCAGATTCTATATACCAATATCCTCCAAAAAGACAAGCCAGCAGGAACATTATCCCTGATGCCATCACAGCATATCTTTCCACCACGCTGGATTACTTTCTCGTCATCCATAATTACTTCAGATTTGGTGACAAGTTGTATCCATGAGTAATAGGTATGCAACACAAACCTGCAGTATGTGAACATGTCCACTGCTGACTTAGAGCAGTGGTTCCTCAGCTCCTGTCCCCCAACATCTTTGTTCTACTCGAAATTCATTAGTGACAGTTTCATCATGTGGACTGATGGGAAGGAAACCCTCATTCCAGAGCCAACAGGTTCCAACCCACCATCAACTGAAGCTGAACCAGTCCACACAAAAAGTCCATTTTATGGATACTACAGTCCATCTTCATAAACACCATTCCATACCAGAAATCTACTCTGAGCACCATCTCACCAATCTGTTGTCTACAGCCAAGCCTTATGTTATAGTCATATTTGCTCAAATTCCATGGACAAGAACTTACACGTGAAGGCATTCTCAGGAACACAATACCCACCCAACAAGAGAAGAAACACATTAGCAACCATAATCAACCTACTACAAGACCAATTCAAGAAAGCAACAGTGCATCACTGAATGTCATTTGTAGCTCCTAGCCCAAAGCAGTCTGATGTACCCTCAGCAGTTTACAGTCCATCCTGGAAAATGACCTTTCTGTGACACACAAACCTTAGCTAGTAGACCTTTCCTTGCTATTCAGTCTAAAACACCTTATCAGTAAAAGTGGGTCATCTAATAGAGACCTAAACTCAGATGCCAACATTGTTCCAATATCCACCCAGGCAAGGTTGGTCCATGACCTAATAACACCAGCCATGCTACCTTGGGAACATTCACTTGCTCATCCTCCATCATATGTCAAAAATTCTGTTCTGTACATAGAACAAAACGGTCAGTTTCTATACAAAATAATAAATGTCCTCAAAATATGTCCTCAAAAATGGCAATATGCAGAAACCAGAGGGAGAACATTTCAGTCTCCCAGGACATTTGATTGATTACCTAAAAGTCGCCATTGCCCAATAAAATAACTACTGAGAGCAACTCCAGCATGCAACTGGTAAATTAGAATTCATCTATACATTAGACAGCATTTCCTCTGAGCTGGGACTCATTCACCATTGCAGGTATTAATCAGCTTAACGAAGCTCGAGAGATAGCATTATCACCAATTACTGCTATTCCGAGTGGTACTTTTCTTGATTGCATTTTGAATTTTCCATAATAATATCACACCTTGTACTATCTTATCTGCTTCTCGTGCCCTTTTGTCCTTACTGTTACATGTGTTTTCTTTATAACCTTGGGTTTGAGTGTGTATCTGTAAGAGGAGGGGTGACCCATGCCTCCG